AGGAGGTTACACAAAAACTACTGACTGTTCAAAAGAAGGGTCACCATGCCTTGGTTCCAGTAACCCAGCTAAGTAAGTGAACAGTACAGGACTCATATGATGATGGGGAAGAGAGAAAAAGTAAAGCTACTGTTAAATCATCAAACATCAATAAACATTTTGAAATCTAATTACCTAAATATTCACCCATTTCCACAAATTAAATGGGAGCAATCTCAATATTTTTCCTTGGAGAAGCTCAAATGGAGACAACTCATAGGAAACCAAAGATGGCCATAATGGGAGTTCATTTCATTAGTAAAAAGGAAATTTATGGAGGAATATTGATCAAAGTCTAAACTGGGCATGCGGTGCCAAGCAAGTGTTTCTAAACACAGTTGTCTAAACACAGTTGTCTACTTATGAAACCATGTAGCAAATACTAGAGGTATCAAGATTGCAGTGCTCAATAGTGCTAGTCTACCGAAATATATTGACAACCTAAGAATCTATATGATCTCTAAATCAGTTGATATATTAACTATAAATGAAATGCGTTTAGACTCCCCATTCTCAAATGCTGTCATAAGTATACCCGGTTATTCTCTTGAAAGAATGGACCGTAATAGAAATGGCAGAGGAGTTGTGCTTTATATTAGGAACTCTATTAACTATGAAAACATCCAAACCTTGGATGAGAATTTAGAATTACCTTGTGTCAAAGTGATTAAGCTTAAGGCAAAACCCTTTATTGTTGGAACGTGGTATAGACCCCCTGGGTCACCAAACGAGATAATGCATGCTTTCGAGTCTGCCCTTGAGAGATAAGAGCAATATGATTTGGAAAAAAAATTTACTTGGGGATTTTAACTGTGATGTCACAGATAGTAGTCTGGATCATCAAACTATAAAGTTTCACGATATCTGTAATCTGTACCAATTTCATCAGCTAATCTACAGTCCCACACGAATAACTTCTTTCACTGCTACTACAATCGACTTGTTTATAACTAATAATCTAAGTAAATTTTCTCATGCTGGTGTCTCCCATATAGGCATTAGTGATCACTCACTTGTTTATGCCATTTGCAAATTATGCATCCCACCTTGTTCTTCGAAAATTCTTTTCAGCAGGCAATTTCAAAATTTTGAACCCACTGGCTTTAGGCGGGAGCTAGGCCTGGCCCCATGGCACACTGTACCTTACCACAATGATCCAAATTCTGCTTGGGCTGTCTGGAGAGACCTGTTTCTCATGTCTCAAATTTTCATGCTCCTTATCAACATAAGAAAGTTAAAAGTACTCCTTCCCCATGGCTTAGCCCATACTTGAAGAGGCTGGTGTTCAAAAGAGACAGGTTAAAAAAAGTTGCTTGCCGACTAAAAACTGAGGAAAGCTGGTCAAGGTATAAATCAGTCAGAAACCAAGTGAATGAAGCGATAAAACTGGCTAAATCATCTTATTATAATACATATTTTGCAATAAATCAAGGAGATATTAAGAAGTCGTGGAAAAGAATAAATTTTATTATAATGGCAAACACAAAAGAGACAACTAGAATCAATGCTCTCAAAATTAGAAATGCTGCTTAAACTTCCCCTCTGGAAATAAGTGATGTTTTAAATAATCATTTTTCAAATGTAGGACCATTACTTGCCAGCAAAATTCCTCTGCCTTATATTGCCTTTGGCAACTATGTCCACCCTGTAGCACATACCTTTATGTTGATAGAAACGACCAATGATACTGTTCTAAAACTAATTAACTCACTCCTGTTAAATAAAGCTAGTGGTCTTGATGGGATATTCTGTCGCTTACTTAGAGAGGCAGCACCTATAGTTGCGCCCTCTTTAACCTATATAATCAAATTTTCTATCACTACTGGTATATTCCCAGATGAATGAAAGTTGGCCAGAGTCTCGCCCATATACAAAGAAGGGGCAAAAAGTGACCCTAACAACTACAGGCCAATCTCCGTTTTGTCTGTGATTAGCAAATTGATAGAAAAAATAGCTTTCAACCAGTTTTATGAGTATCTAATAATGTATGACCTCTTGGCTGACACTCAGTCTGGTTTTAGATCCAGGCATTCCACTCAAACTGCCCTTCTGGAAGCTACTAAAGAGTGTTCCTGAACATAGACAGTGGTCTGATAAATGGTGTACTTTTTCTCGACCTAAAAAAAGTTTTCGATACAGTAGATCACCAGATCCTACTGCAGAAACTTCAACTTTATGGAGTGGATTTCCATACCTTGAAGTGGTTTGAATCTTACCCAACAGATCGTAAGCAGAAAACCTTTGTAAAAGGCCATTTATCGGACTACTGCCCCATTATTTGCGGTGTCCCACAGGGATCGATCCTGGGACCGCTTTTGTTCTTAGTCTATATAAATGACCTCCCTCCGTGCCCCCTATACTCTGTGCCTAGAATGTACGCTGATGACACAAGTCTTACTCTAATTTCAAATAATCCAGCTGACTTACAATACAAATTGAATAGTGACTTAGCCCAAATTAAGACCTGGCTACGAGCTAATAAACTTAGTTTAAATGTAAAAAAAAAACAAATATTAGATTTTTGGTAGCCATAAAAATTGGCTAACTAAACTAACAGTTTGATGTGAAAATTGATGACCATTTCTTAGAAATAAAGGCTGATAGTTTTGAAAGAAATTGTTTGGGGCTGTGTCGGTGGGAGTAACGAGATATATCAACAACGTTGAAATGGTAAATTGGCCACCATAACGATTACAAAAGCTGACGTTTTGAGCGTTAGCCCTTCGTCGGAGCGAATAGAGGAATTGTGGGTTGTGTGTGCTTTTAAAGGCAGAAAATGGAGCTATGTTATTGGTGGGAACATGGCAACGAGAAAAACATGAATAAATTAGTGGAATGAAAAGCATTTGTTGATCCCTGTGGGATTTAGACTGCCGGATTGAAAGATGAGCTTTTGTTCAAGATTTTTACGGCTTTCCGTGCCACCTAGGTACAAGGAAAGACCACAGATTGCCATATGTTGCTTAGAATGATTAGGTAAATTAAAATGTCCAGTGACTGGTTTCGATGTGTCCTTGTCATTCCTTTCCACATCTCGAAGGTGTTCTCGGAATCGGTCACCTAGTCTTCTGCCTGTTTCGCCGATGTATATCTTTTTGCAATAAGTGCAAGTTATGCAATAGATTACATTGGCGGAGGTGCACGTGAAGTGATCGGTGATCTTAATGGATCGTTTAGGTCCCGATATTTTATCAGTGTTGTGAATGAAAGGACACGTTTTGCATCGTGCACGAGCGCATTTAAAAGTGCCTGGTTGGTCATTAGTCTGAAAAGAACTTCTGACCAAAAAATTGCCTATGTTTTTGTCGCGTTTGAATGAAATGAGCGGAGGCTGCGAAAAGATAGTGCTTGTCTCTGGATCGTTTTGAAGTAATTTAAAGTTTTTAAGAATGATGGATTTAACTGAGTGGTTGTGAGGGTGAAACGTGAGAGTGAATGGAATGCGGTCGGAATCTTCCTTATGCGACGTTTGTAGTGCTGAATGTCGATCAATAAATGGATCACTCACAGTTTCTGGGCAACGAGTCGATTTTAAATCGTCACGATTTATAAGTCACTCGATAAACGATTTAAAGCGAGACTCGTTTGTTTGTGAATAGAAACGAGACTCGTTTGTAGAAACGAGACTCGTTTGTAGAAACGAGACTCGTTTGTAGAAACGAGACTCGTTTGTAGAAACGAGACTCGTTTTTAGAAACGAGACTCGTTT